GGGCTGTTTCGGTGTGTTCCGCGAGCCTCCCGACCTCGGTAGGGCGTCCACAGACCTGCCTGTCTTCAGCGAGCTGATTCGGCGTGTTCTGCGGGACTCGTGACCTCGGTAGGGCTTCCGCAGACCTGCCTGTCTGCAGTGGGCTGATTCTGCATGTTCTGCTACTTGCGACTAGAAGGTATTTTTTTTACAATCAGAGGGAATTGGGAGACTTTTCACCCCAGAGTGTAATGTGTGCTCATTTTGATAAAGAGGCACATAGATTAAATAAAACATTAGAAACACATATATAAAATAATTCATTAAAGTTAACCTGTGATCACATGTTTCTGTGACTGTTAAGTTCCAAAGAGCAGTTAGGTGTGGAGGCCTCCCTAAATGGGATGAGTAATACTCAGGTACCCTACACATCCTTTATCCTCTGCCTTTTGGTATTGTGGCTAGATGTGACCATCCACTCACACTGCAGGGCTACAGTATTCTTGGCTGTGTACTGTGTTAAGAACACAGTGGGAAACAAAACAGATCATTTTCTCTGGGATGGCATTTATATACTGGAAGTATTAACAGCAGATGCAAATCGTAGAATTTACCCTGAAATTTCTTTGCTGCTGCCTTTTTTCTTGAGGACAGGGAGACACATAGAAAAGGGTAAAGAACAAGTGATGTGGTCAGTTGTGTTAAAGATTCTCTGTGGAACATGATGACCAAACTGGATGGTAGAATGTGATCTGCAACAGTGTGTCACATGAGCAAGTGGCACATCGTGATTTGGGCTTCAGAGCACAGTACGTATCATACAGATGTGTTGATGGGTGATACCAGATGTTTCCCAGTGAAATTCTGACTGGTGCCAAGGAAATGCTTTGTGGGACAGCTGTATTTGCTCCTGTGCTGATGGCCCTGATGGCCTCACTGGTGAATCTGAATAAAACTTAAAAAGCCACAGTCTCTGATGCTTATTGGCAGTGTGATCTGAGGTCATCACTTACTTCTGAACTTGCTCAGAACCCTCATCTGTAAAACGATGAGCCCAAGTGCTTTTGAAGATTGCATGACATCTACAACCTGCCTGTTGCATGACTAAGGACAGAGTATGCCCTCATTATTTAACAACAGTTCTTCTCTTTTAAAAGAAAGACTTTCTGGCTAGCTGTGGTGGCGTACACCTGTAATCCCAGCACTTGGGAGGCAGAGGCAAGGAGGATCACTGCAAGTTCAAGGCCAACCTGGGCTACACAGTGAGTTCAAGGCCAGCCTGAACTACCTAGAGAGACTCTGTCTCAAAAAACAAACAGCTCTTCTCAAAGAAGGACTTTCTTACTCTGTACCATCTTGAAACATAGACTTATCATACTTTTTGAGTTATAATGGTACATATGTAATGATATTTCACTGAACCCATATTTCATTTCAAATCCTATAGATTATATCTTTCTTGGTTCCCAGACTAATACTGTCTACTTTTTTTTTCTGATACTGGGTATCGAACTTGGGACCTTGTGCTTGCGAGGCAGGCTGCAGAACCACTGAGCTAAATCCTTGGCCCCTCTACTTACTCTTTTGCTATGTGTCTCAGGATGAATCTTGAAGCAAAATAATAATAATAATTTATTATTTCTGTTGTATTTATTTAGTGCTTAATGCCAAGAAACTAAGCTGTTCATGTGTGTTATGTCATGTAATTCTTACTGTGAAAGCACTGAAGCACAGGGAGAAGTCTAGTGTTTTGTTCAAGGCCATAGAGATGTCATAGGAGATACTGATTGAAACCCAGGCACATCTGACTTCCAAGCCCAGGTTCTTAGCCCACCTCTTCCCCTTCAGCATGTGTTAAATAACTGAAAAGATAGTCCTCCAGAGTGACAGACACAGGTGTTTTTTGGATAACTTTCAGTCTGGATTGTTAAGTGTGCTTAAACTTACACCACAGTTCAAAGACTCTGCTGTTCCTGTTATGTGTCAAGATAGCACAGCTCACCAATGAGCAATGCTCTTAATTTATGTTCTGCTGGGCTGGCCCTTACCATAGTCTCCCTTGTGTTAGTTTTTAGTGGACATGTCTGAAGAGAAGCATGTGTTAAGTGGCTAAGAGCCTAAGACTCTGGAATTGGACATCCTGGAGTCGAATCCCAGATCTGCTAATTACAAGGTGGGTAACTGGAGCAAGTTTCATTTTCTCTCTCAGTTTCTCATCTGTAAAGTGGGGATTGTAGGGGACAGGGGAAGGGGACGTTACCAGAACCTCTGCAGTTAGTCCTGGTCTCCTGCGAGCCACGGCAGCACACGGCGAATTACAGGAAAGGTAGAAAAATGAGACCGAGAAGAAGCTAAGCTTTGGGTCTGATCAGTGCTGCTCTGGGCAGCAAAGACAAAAGCCCCCAGCTTACCACACCTTTTATTCAGTACATCGGGAGAAACAAATGTAACAGATGACTTGCAGAGAGTTCAATAGTTCACATTGGGATAAACAAGGTGTAACGGAAGGCTTGCAGAGAATTCAGTACATCTCCGGCAAACAAGATGTTAATCAGTCCAAGAACAATGAGGAACTGAGCAGATGTTTGTTCTCCCAGGATGTTTCTTGTCCTGGAGAATCACAGCATCACTGGATCACTGAAGTCTCAGTTGTGACCGAAGGCCAAACTGGAGTTATTCTGTAGCTGGGCTGTAGGCAAGAGAACTAGGCTAACCAAATGATTTATCCCTAGAATTATGTAGCATTGCTCCCAACAGGGGATAATAAATAATGATTATTGTGAGCATTAAAAAAGTACAGTATATGGGGGACAGTCATGCATGTACCCCTGGGGGGGGGGTGGTGGTCCAGAGCTGCCAAGCAGCAAGGCAGACAAATCATGGCCCCATTGCGAATGTGATAAAAGCGCTCAGCAGTTGGTTAGTGTAAAGGTGAGCACAGGTGTTACGAGAATGTTAAGGTGATGCACTGGCCCAGCTTCAGTAGTAGATCAGGTAGTGATCATGGAAAACTTTCAAGGGATTGTCAAGCTCTAGTGAGAAATAGTCAAGAGAGCAAAAGGTAAAAGGGGCTTTTATGACAAAGGGTATAGCCACAAAATGAATGCAAGTTTTTCGTAAGTGATGGAGCATGAAGTGTGGGGAGAGAAAATGGAAAAGCAGGGGGGAAGGAGCATATCCTGGGAGTCTTACTTGAGCCCTCTGGGTTCCCGGCACAGAGATCCGCAGATGAATTTGTGCTGTGGTGGTGGACATCCACTGACTTGTGGGAATGATTCCACAGGGCCATGGAAGACACTAAGGCTTTTGAGAAGACTTTTCTAAGAGTTCCTATAAGACGTGGAGTGTCAGGGCAAGGAACAAAAGGACAAGGTGGTGTGGAGGGCAGGCCAGCACCATGCTTCCATCAGATGTGTACTTTTAAGTTCTAGGGCACCTGAAGTAAAACCTAAGAAAGGTATGGCCTGTCATGCCTGAGTCTTTTTGAGAAAGTGAACTAGATGTGCTGCAGTGTGGATGTCTATGCACAGAAGAATCTGCTGAAGAAGTAGTAAGAGAACCAGGTGTGGTGGGACATGCCTGTGATCTCAGCACTCTGGGAGGTTGAGGTAGGATGATCGCAAGCTTGAGCCCAGCCCGACAATTTAGTGACTCAGAGAGACCCTTTCGCTAAATAAATCAATAAATAGTGCCAGGACGAAGGATGTAGCTCAGGGCAAAGGACCCAGGTTCAATTCTGAGCCCCGCCCCACACGCCAAAAAAGGTACCAACAGGCTGTCTTTCCACTGTTGGACGCTGTGTGCCTGTGTCCATGTTGTGGGTGCAAATCGAGGGGTCTGTGCAGAGAAAGAGTTGCTCTTCATTTCCTGTTATTGCAAAATCTTCCTTTCTCACAGAACATGATGGAAATATGATTCTTCTTGTTAGTTTCCTTTTTATTAGCCTTCTGTCTGGGGTTGAGTTTTCTTTTTTACTTTTTTTTTTTTTTCTGATTATTTTTCAGTGGTGACTATAATTAGATATGGAAAAACTAGAAAATGATTCAAATGAAAAAGATCTTTTCACTTTTTTTTTTTTAAGAGTAGGAATAGTTTATTAAGAGAAAGATAGCTTTTAAGAGAGCCAGAAGGGGGACTGGAAAGTGGGTTGCTCTTTCTCTTAAGTACACACACATAAACAAAAAAAATGAAGAACAGCAATGAACTTTGATTGCTCAGGGTAGAGTGCAGTGCTTTGCTGGCTGTTTGGAGGAAGAGTATGGAAATGTAAATGCAGGTGTGGGTGACAGCTGGCTATCTGAAGTGAGTGTTACCTTTCTGGAAAGAGAAGGCTCTTCCCTCAAGTGTGTGAAATTGCTTTTCACCACTAGAGTGTATTTTTGATGCTACAGTGCTATAGTAAAGGAAACATATGTTTCTAAGAATCGGATTGTTAGAAAGTGAGTTTCTTTCACATGGTTAAATAAGGAGCATTATTATATGCAGCCTCAATGTTGAAAGCATAAAGAGAAAGAGAAAGGTAACTAGTAGCTGGTCTTGCCTTCTATGGTCACTAGCTAAAAGTCAGGCTGTTCATCTATGAGGCCACTGGCAGCAGGCAACAGGCAGCCAGGACTGCGATCATTGTTGTTGAGAGAAGAGAATCACATGAGGAGGACTCTGACTTGCCTGGTTTTCTGCTCATGCAGTTCTCTGCCAAGGCACAGAGAGGTGAGTCTTGGCAGAGTTCATGGTCTCAGCACTGATAAAACAGGTCTTGGAGTTCAGGGCTGCTGATGAGGCTGGAATTTGGTATAGCCAGTAATGGAGAGAAGTATAGCCTTCTGAGGGGTTGAGACCTACACCAGGTGATGCCTAGCAGAGAACTGCTACCAGGCTAAGAACAGAATGGCCATGCCAGGAATTGTTTGTTACTAGGAGGGGTGCATCTTAGCTATTCTGTTGAGACACTGGAAAGGTCACATCCTATGAGTAAGGACCCTACCTTAGAGAAAGTCCATATGTTTGCACTAAGGACATACCTAAAATAGACCTATTTTGACCAAGTACCTACCCAAGCCTTGCAGGATCAAGAGGAGCCACCAGTAATTTAGCTGCTACCAGAACTAAACCAAACATCTGCTGATTGTCTGTCTTATAATAGAACAACATACAAAGAAGTAGGAAAATGTGACCCATATTCAAAATGAAAATAAATAAATAGAAGTAGTGATTTAAAATAGTGTTATACCAGATCTTCATCCCTTCACCATTTTTCACTGAAAGAAACCAGGCTTTGTTGGAGAAGTGATTGTATCTAAGACAGAGACAAGATGGATAAAAGATGAGCCCAGAACATTATTTTTGTTAATGTCAGAAAGTAAGAAAATAAAAGTGAGGAAATAAAAAAATAAGGACTCCTCCAGAATAATAGACTATGTCACAAAGATACAGACAACAGTTTGAAGCTAAGTCTAAGAGAGTTTGAGTACCAGAATAATTAAATACAGGGATAAATTATAAATCATTGAAAAAGCCCAATTTCATATATTTGAACTGATCATAAGTAGATGAACAAATAATGTAGAACAGTTTGAGTAATCAACAGTAATATAGAGGGAATGTTGAAGTCAGCATGTTTTATTCATCATAATATAAAGTTGAAATCAGGCAGACAGACACTAATGGATGCAAAATCTAGGGGGAAATCTTGATGTGGGACAAGATATTTGCATGGTCTTAAAGTATCTCCCCACAGATTACTTACTTGTATCACTTACTTGTAGCAAGGGAAAATGTAGAAATTTTTTATGGCATTGGATGGTACTTTGGCTGGCATCAAAATAGGTTTTAGATGCCTTTAGATGTGATATTCAGAGAGCTACATCACTTCTGTAGTTCTCTGGCTGAGAATTCGTAACTGTTATGCTTGGCCTGAATGAGACCTTCATAAGCAAATGTGCTGTTCTCAGCAAACAACAGGCTATCCTCAACAAACAGAACAGATGATCATAAAGAAAATTTGAGACAAGATATATAATCTCACCAGTGCTGGAGAGTCCAGTATGCACACCTGCACTGACCATCCTTGGACCCTCAATCAGAAAGAAGCATTCCACTCCAGATTCCTTAGTCCTTTCTCAACCCTATATTAAACTTAATTTCTCTTCTAGCTAGCTGCTAAAAATCATTCAGAATCTCAGCCTTGTCTACATCCAGACAGAATAAATCTAGCCTTTTTTCACATAAACCTGCTAAAATCTCCCCCTGATTTCAGTCCCTCTTCACCTAGGCAAAAATAAAGCTTTTTCTCATACAAAGCCTGTGTCAAAAGTGGCCCCTCTCACACACCATTTATAACAATAAACTGAACTGTCATCAGGAATCACCTGGGGAAATGGCAGACAATTCAAAATGGAAATGTTCTAGTAATATAAAAGGGGAGAGGCTATTTCTTCTAAAATGTCTATGTTATAAAAGACAAAGGAATGATTGTGTTCAGGTTAAAGGAAATTAAAGAGAAATGATAGCTAGATGCAATATCTGACTCTGGACTAGATGCTGAATTAGAAGAAAAAGAAGTGTTATAAGAATCATTATTAGGTTAATTGAATATGGCAGTAGATTAAAATACTAACCAATGTTAAATTTACTAAAGTTGATAACAACATCATGGTTCTTGGAGCAGTTCGCTTTCGAATTGTCCCTGCTTGTCCAGAGTAGCTGTCTGTCATCTCTGTCTTCCTCCTTCTCTGTCTTCAAATAAATGTCTTCTTTTATTTACAAAAGAAAGAATGTCCTTATTCTTATTCTTAGGAAATCTAAAGTATGTAGAGATAAAGGACTATGATATATGGAAATTATCTCCATATGGATCAGGGAGAGTCAAAAGTGTGTGTGGAGAGAGCAAGTTAATGATTAACTAAATGGATTAAATGTTAATAATAGATTAATCTAGATAAGGAGTGTATAGTTATTCTTTGTAGCGTTATTTTATAACTTTTCTGTAAGCTTGAAGTTATTTCCAAATTTAAAAAAATAGAAAAGCTCAGCAGTGAAAACTATGACCAAAAGAGGAAGGGAAGGATGTGAGAAAGATACAGGCATTGCCTGCCTTCTTTTGGATGTTTTACTCTGGGTTGTCTGGCAAATCCTATGGCAGTGTTTCTGTGACTTTGGCACCCCCCCCCAATACCTCATGGCTAAGAAAGCATATCTAGTGCAAGAAGAAATAACATTGCAATTCAAATTGAAACCACCATGTTCTGTGTTGCAGAGGAGTTTGGAATGAGGGCTTGTCAAGCTGGGCTCTAATTGCACCTTTTATACCTGCTAGCTGAGTGGTCAGGGAAGGAGCCCTAGCCTTTGGGAACTTGCACTGGTGCATTTTTAAATAATACTTGTCTATACTCAAGGTTGTAAGGCTCCAGTGAGAAAATGCATCTCAAGGCTTTTTGTAAACAGTAGTGATTTCTTATAGAGACGTGAACTGACTATGAATAGTTTTGGTTAAAGTTGAAAAACAGCCTAGAAGTTTTATTTGGCTGGCTCTTTGTCTTCTTAAAAGTTGAGTTTTTACTTGACTAATTAAATGAGAGGGCTTCTTTTCCTGGGGTTCATTTTCTGCCTTTGTTGTTTCAGACAAAGCTTCAGTGCCTGGGGGAGTTGTGGACTTTCTGAATTTCAAGAACAGTGAAGTTGGAGTACAGTAGAAGGTGTATAAAAGACTACACAGGTAAGTCAGATTCAGAGTTTTTTCCATTCTTGAAGAATTCATGGATCCCAAGTTCCTTATAATTGCGCCTACTTTGTTCTGAGATTGTCTGTGAGGCTCTGGTGGGATAGAGGGAATTTGCAGGCCTTTGTGGTCCCCTAGGGCAAAGTCAGCCAAGGCAAGGAGGAGAAAGAATAGAGGCCAGCTCCCTAGGAGAGGGCCAGGGTGGTGAGAGTAAGTAAAACAAGGACACAGAAAATAGCACCACTTTTGGTCACATAAACCCCATGGGAATGATTTCAGGAATTTCCCAGGAGTGTCATTTGGAACTAGTCCTCTTTCATTTTGAATTGCTTTTGATTAAGGCTTTTATTTATTTTTAAATTTTTTTGCTTAAATTATTTTATTGGTACATTTTAGTTATACAATATCATTGTATTTATCATTGGATACTTGTACCTGTACATGATGTATCTTGGTTTTTATTTTTTCCCCATTCCCTGTGCTCCCTTCACCCGCTCCACCCATTCCTATTTACAAAGACTTTGTTTCCATTTTTTACTTTTCTCATAATTTTTGCTTTCACTTCTAACTTTCCCCTTCTCCTCCCCCTTCCCCTACCCCTTTGGACCTTTTCTTCCTATTTCAAATTATCAATTATTCGTTTTAATCATTTTAATCCTTATTTATACTTTCAGTTTCTCACGCCAGAGAAACTATTCGGTATTTACATGCGTGTCCTATATATTTCATTTATGAGTATGGCCTCAATATGCATCCATTTAGCTATAAATATCTCTATTTTGTCATTCTTCGTGCCTAAGTAGTACTCCATTTTATAAAAAAACACATTTTCTTTATCCAGTTTCCAGTTGATGGGCACTTGGGCTGTTTCCAAACTTTAGCTATTACAAACTGTGCCACTATAAACATGAGTACACATATATTGCTGTGGTATGATTCTTTTAATTCTTTTGGGAAGATACCCAGCAGGGGAATAGTTAGGTCAAATAGGACCTCTAGTCCTAGTTCTTTGAGTTATCTCCATACTGATTTCCACAGTGGTTGCAACAGTCTGCACTCCCACTAACAATGGAGAAGGGTTACTTTCTCCCCACAACCCTGCCAACATTTGTTATTGGTTGATTTTTTGACAGCAGCCATTCTTTCTGGAGTTAGGTGGAACCTCAGGGTTGTTTTCATCTACAGCTCTCAAATGACCAGTGATGTTGACCATTTTTTCATATTTTTATTTGCTGCTTTTACTTCTTTGTCTGACAAATGTCTGTTCATTTCAGATGTCCATTTTTGAAATGGATCTTTGAATTTGTGGGGGGTCTGATTTTTTAAGTTCTTTATATATTCTAGATAGTAGTCCTTTGTCTGAGGTACAGCT